TCTGGAAAGTTCTTTAGGACAGTCAGGTGAGACGGCCTTGTCCTGGAATGCCTGTGTGACAGCTCGGCAGAGCGGAGCAGTGTGGCTGCTTTCCTGGGCTTGGCAGGTGTTTGTCCCAGGACGTGTCTGTCATACACTGGGCAGGGGGGACGGGGACACAGCTGGAAAGCCAAGAGCTGAAAGCCCAGAAACCTCACTGCTCTAGCACCAACTGTCTTTTTTTTTTCTTTTTTGTTCCCTACTTGCTATTCAGAAGGGAGGGTGGGCAAAGGCTGATCTGCAGTCCTGAAATGGACATGGTAGGGTGATTGTGAGGTGCCCTTTCTGTGGACATATACTAAACAGCCTGAGGAGGTGAGACGGTTTTGTACAGATTTGCATTTCTTATGAAAGAGCAAAAAAGCCAATGAGCCTTTGATTTAGTGCCAAGCCTCACCCCTTGTAGCTTTTAATTTTTCATCTTTTGAAGGAAAGATTGTATTTCAATGTCTATTTTTTGCTAGTTATATTCTAACTATGTCCACCCCCGCCTCAGAGCCTTTCCTCCCTGGGCTGGCCATTGCAAGTCCAACGTGTCCGACCCATGGGTGGACCAAAGGGCATTCCTTTACTGTCATCCCAGAGATGTCTATGAAGCCATCTGTAAGTTCCTGATATGGAATAAAGACGTTTTCCTTTCCAAGTTCGCAGAGAAGTTTCAAACTCGAAGTCCCAGCCCAGTGGTGGTGAACCTATGGCACACTCGCCACAGCAGGCTGCTCGTATCAGTGAAAGCTCTGAAAGGCTGGCCATCACTACCCTAGAAGGTGGGAGTGGGTGGGTTCACCTGCACAGCCTAGGCAGGTAGGGATGAACTAATACACAGCTCAGTTGTAAAAATCATGGTTCTCAGTCAGGTCCTTAACATCCCCTGCCACTTAGTCCAAGGTGACCTTCAAATCCATACATTTTTAAGATATTCATTTTAAAAAAGATGCATGCCATCAATCTGCCGCATACAACTGTACTTCCTGGACAGCACCACTTACTGCCCATTTAAAGCCTCAAACTCAGCAGGACTGAAACTGATCTTGCGCCCTCTCTTCCCCCAAACATAATTTTCTCAAGTGCTCACTGATGGCCCTGCACCCATAGGAAAGTGCGCCAGGTTGGCACGGAGGTGTCAGCACGGCTTGGGGACCCAAGACCCAGGACGAGATTGATTTCCAGCTTCTTCACCCTGGCTAGCCGTGAACTTCCTCTTCCGATTTCCTGTGCACGCCACGCCTTCCCCGGTCAGTCGCTGCTATGATGCTGCCCTGCTGTCCAAGTTCCACCTGCACCCTAGCCCGATGAATTCTTTGTCTCCCTGCCTCCTCCCTGCACGTCTTCAGCAGCCCTCCTGTGCTAAGCAACAAAGGTTTCTTTATTTCTCTCCTGCACCAGAAGAAGGAACTCATATTATGTAAAAGACCGTCTTCAGCTAATATGTGCTAGATCGATACAGCTTATCTTTATTTGTATTGAATATATTTATTTAAATTTATTGAGTTAATCTCTATTAAATATTTAGCACTAACAAATATTTAACCAGTTAGGTTAGAATAGATATTTGAAGACCAGAGAGAAAAAGAGGAGAAAATCATAAGCGGTTCAACATAGATAATCCAAACAGGTGCTTTCAGTTCAGCATCTGTATGGAATTTACCAGGTAAGTGGACTCTGTAAAATGGAAGACCACAAAATGCCCACCCCTCTTGTGTCACTGTTCCAGGTGGCCGGAATAACATATTAGGAAGATTGTAAACAAAGGCACCACAGAGGTACCTAAGGGACTTATCTGAAACAACGACACCCATTCATCATTTTTGTCATTTAGTGCCACAGAACCTTTTGAAGGTACCTGTGAACTCTAGAAAACTGGATTTCAATTTTTATTTGCTTATAACTATATCTTTTCTCTTACCTCTATATTCATTCTTCATATATTCTTTCTTCAAAATCCATATTTGCAGGCTTTTTTCCTTTACAGTGCTTCAATCTTAACTATTTTTTATTTTTAATAATTTATTTATTTAGTTTGTTCGGTACAGGGTCTCACTACGCAGCTGGGACTTGTAGTGATCCTCCTGTCTCAGCCTTCCCAGTACTGGGCTTACAGGTGTGCGCCACCACGCCCATTTTCAGTGGCCTGCACAGTCTGCCCCAGCATGGCATGTGATACCAGGGGTTGAACTCAGGTCCTTGCTCTTGCCAAGCAGACACTTAGACCGCTGCACTATCTCCCCAGTGCATCAATTTTATCTCTTTTGCTTCTGTTTTCTTTTGGCAAATACAGATTCTCCTTGATTTATGATGTGATTACATCCTGATAAATTCCTCAGAAGTTGAAAATGCTGGAAGTCAGAAATGCGTTTAGTCTTCCCAATGCACTGAACATCTTATCTTAGCAGCACTGCACGCACCTGGAGTCTCCTCCTACCCTTGTGTGGTAGATGAGGAGCCGTGGCTGCCTCTGTCCAGCACTGTTAGAGGATTCTGAGCCCATCTCTAGCCCAGAAAATGGTCAAAGTCCAAAACTTGAAGTACAGTTTCTACAGAATGCATATGGCCTTCACACTCTCACCAAGCGGGCTCTTAGCAGTGCATGAGATAGAGACCCTCTGCTGGCTTAACTATGACTCATTATCTCATTGTTGCCTTCATTTGTTTTCGTTACCGAGAAATGCAGGCCTCCTCCAGAAGAGGAAAGCTACCCTCAGCTGTTGCCGCTGGAGGGGAAACTCCAATGCTGGTAATAGAATCACCTGAAAGAATTCAAGGGCATCACTAGGAGACTGGCTCTTTGGCTTACGGTTGGAAAGTCAGTGGAGACTGCGGTAGGCACTGGTTACTCTTCCTTACAGAACTGGGCTTTGTTGGCATAGTAAGAGCGGCCACATTGCCACAGGCTTTGAGCTTAAGTTTGGTCCTTGGAGGACTTGGTGATTTGGACTTTTTCTCCATATAGCTCTCTGCTCTAATGCCACCAACTTGAGAGGACAAAGAGGTGGAAGGATTTTTTGAAATAAAGTCATCTAGAGGAGGCTGGGTTTTCCCTAGAGTAGCTCGGGGTGGCGTGTCAGTGCTGGTGCTCTGGCTATGGGCGTGAGTGGATTGCTCCTGCGGTTGACTATGGCTCCTTCTGACAGCACTGCCAGGGGTCTTCGCTTCGGTCTGTGGCTGCTGAGGACTCACTGCTGCAGACTGAGGACCTGGCTTTCGGCTGGCATAGTTAAATGAATTCTAATTACCAGACTGCCCAAACAGGGGCTGTTTTGCAACATACCTTGAAAATGTACCTTGAAGAGGCTCAACACAAAAATCGTCTTCTAACCTGGGATGTACTGGTCGTGGTGCACATGAACACCAGCCTGAGCCATTCTGCGGGAGGCAGAGCTTCCCGCTGCGCTGCTGTATCGCAGACACTGAGCTGGTGATTGGCCTCGATAACTGAGCGGGCGCATCTGTGGGCAAATGCTTTCTAACTAGATGAACAGTCTGCTTGGTAATAGTTTCTGAGTCTTTCAAGGACTCTATTATATAAGCAACGCTGTTGCTTAGCTTTCCCCAGGGCAAGAGCTAGTCAGCTTGCCTTGGGCTTTTTGTTTGATTCCCATTCTGCACTCATTTGTCATATCCCTAAATTCTTTGTCCCTGTGTGTGGACACAATACGACTGTCTTAAACTTCGTATCTTGAGAATGGGGCACTGACTTCCCACTTAGGGGGCTACCTTTGAAAGATATTCAATCCAAGGATGTTTATTTCCTAAGGAGATTATTAGAATAATGACATCCCACTTTGGGAAGATGTCTTTAAAATAGAAACCCTGTACTCTCATCTTGCCATGTTACAGAAGAGAAAAAAACCAAGACGAATGTTTTCGATCCATAATATTATGCTGGATCTCACTTAGAGTGAGCGGGCCTAAGACCGCCTCCAGCCACACAGCCTTTCAACTCTAGCTTCCACTTTCCCCACCAGGGTCTTGCATCCTATCGCTAACTGTCCTTTCATAGAGGGATTTGAAGGGTGAGGTCCTGTCATTTGGCAGCTGTGTGACCTGGCACAGGGTCCCTAAGCTCTGCCCCAGCGTGTCCTCCCATCAATAGGACCTGAGGCTTCGGGACGCTCGGGCGGTCAGTGCCACGTAGATCCATCTTTTTATTTTAGCCGTTCTAAAAGGAGGTGAGGAGGAGGGTAGAAATGAAGTCTTGGTGGGTCCTTCATTTTAGAAGGTAACTAGAAAAACTTGGGGAATGAGAGAATCATCTAAAATTTTATTTTAAATTAATTTGCTTATTGTTTGAATAGCAAAGGATGGACCCCTGTGTATCAAAACTTTGAAGAAAAACCATGAATTTATTAGCATAAAAATACACAGTGGTTCAGGGAGGCTGGATCTATTAGGTATGCAGGGACACTCTAAACTACTGGTAGTGTTATTTATAAAACAAAGTAGTTGGCATATATGATGCATTATATTGTTATCACTGAAACTATACTCACATGTTTAATATTTTTCACAGTAAAATTTTTAAAAGAAATGTTTGGGCGTGCGCGCACACACACACACGAAAGAACGTAGGACAATATTTTAAAACTCCTTTTTCGGAAGGCCAAATAGTGATTTAAAAGCATTTTGTAGAATTTGAGTTTCTTAAAACACAAAACTTTCTTTGAAACCTAGACTTAATTTCTTTAATATTTCTGTGTTTATTTCCGTCCCGCAGCCGAAGCTGCTACTGGGTCAGCTTACTCGTGGTCTCACTCCTTGCACGCGCCGAGGCCTGGACGCCGGGCAGTGGAGAGCTTCTCCCTAGACACCGAGACCAGCCCGGGACCGGCGCAAAGAAACCCGCGGAATGGCTCGCTCTTTGCGCGCGTAGAGTCTTAGACAAGCCCAGGTCACGATCCAGATGACGGAGCTCCCCAATAGCTTCTCCTTCCGCGGCCAGCCCTGCACGAAAAATATCTTACCTGTGACAACGCTCGGGATTTTGGACAGGAAACTCTTGACTGTTCTCACGGCCACACCCCCTGCCTTGTCGTCTTGCATCTTCGTGATGATGTCCTCAATCTGAAAGGAGTTAAAGGAAAGAAGGATTATTTTCTCCTACTAAGTTCTGAGAACGGGGGTGGGGAGAGAGAGAGGATGCTCAAGGGCGTAAGATGCGCTCTGAGAGAAAATTTCCCAGTTCCGTAGGGTGAAGGGGGAGAGGTTCGGTGTGTGATGAAATTTCTCCTCGGTTCTTGCTTGGGTTAGGTTTATATACAGTTTGGATCACGGGAGAGCGCCGGATTTTAATGCCTCAAATGCTAGTTTTCTATGGTTTAACCTGAAATGTTAACGCATACTGTTATGAAGTTCAGCCAGGGCTATATTTAAGGCCAGAGAAGGAGCAGCCAGCCCGTGCGGGAAGAAGAAAGGAGGAGGAAGCGGAGTGGGAGGAGCAGGTGGAGGAGAAGGGAAGAGGGAGGAGGAAAGGGGGGAGGAGAAGAGGAAGAGTCGGGGGAGGAAGGGGGAGAAAGGAGGAGAAGAAGAGGAGGAAGAGGAAGAAGAGCAGGGAAAGAGGAAAGGCTGTGAAGGAGGACCCAGAAGCCCCGACCTGGAGGATGTTTCCCCGTTTGGGAAAAGGAAACAAGTGGAGAAGGGAGGAGATAGGATGTGATTTGCTCCTCACCCACAGAAATAGCTCTGAAATTTCGGGAAGGGCTCTCTGAGTGAGTCCTTACAGAACCCCAAAATCTTCAAGCTAGAAACCGTGAGCCCCAGCTCACGCAGTTTCACATAGTGCGTTTATACTTAGAGAATAAGTGATTTTCCCCCAAGGCAAATGGCCTATGAATCATTTGACAGAAATAGCTCTCTTGTATTAGATGAAGTCCAGCATGGTATTATTCCATTATCATCGAAATATGGTCAGAGTTTATTATGTTCTAGTGATAGAAAAAGTTTTCAAAATCACCTTATGAAATACAGGACACTACTCTCATGTTTTCAGATAAAGAAACTGAGACTTAGGAATATCAGCGGGGGTGAGGAATCCTGAAGTATCGGCGACTGAATGCAACCATGTGCATTTCTGTCCCCTGCTGCGTGTCTGTCCAGGTCAGTGTGGGGACCCTGCTCACTGGAACCTTTCGGGGCCAGGGCTGATGGGACAGCTGCTGTCTCAGAGGCTGCTAGTCAGGGTACAGAGTGTCAGGAGAAAATTCTGGAGAGCTTCTTGCAGGGAATTCGGTGGTATAGCCCAGAATGTGCGCATACATGTTTTTTTCACAAGTCTGCCTAGCACTAGACACCTGGCACCACCCAATCCCAGAAGCACCAGGGGCCTTAGCCCTCTGATGGAAGGAGTAGAGAGGAACTGAACGTCTCTAACAAGCTCACATAGCTGCCTGCTGAAGAGCCACGTCTGGCACCAGTCAGAACCCTGAGCTCAGGCTTCTGATCCTGATCCTACTCCACACCCCTGCGAGGTTTTCAGAAAATAAGCTGACCAGGGAAATCACTGTCTCTGGAGGTCGCTGGGCTTCCCTGGAAAGCGCTGAGTGAGAAAGAATCCTACACTCCCAGCGCCTCAGGCAGAGGGTGAGTCTCTCCGAGAAAGAAAGGTCATCCTCTGAAGACTGTTAATCCACTGAGGAGAATACTAATCCACATTCGTAGTAGCTGTTTTAGCTACCACTTCTCTGTCCCCTAAACTTATCCCAACAATTTAGAGAGTTTGAGTGCAGCTTATCAGCATCTGAGGAGAGCAGCTCCAAGGAGGCGTGTGTCTTCTAGTGGCCGCCCGGCTTTGGTCCAGTGCATTGTTTGAGACCAGACACAACTGTTACATTGATGGCTTCTACACGAGGGCAAGTAAATCACTGAGAATCGAAGGGAGGGCTGGTGAGATGGCTCAGTGGTCTAAGGCACCTACTTAGAACAAGCTAAGCTAAGCAAAGCACAGGGACCGTGGTTCAGTCCCCAGCACCACATGCCAGCCAGTCCCGCCCCCTGGTGGGCTGACAGGGCCACACACACTAAATAAATAAATAAATAAATAAATAAATAAAATTAAAAAAAAAAAGAATCAAAGGGAAACCCGCCCTTCAATTCTGTGACATTAGACACAGGCATTAGATGGTGATAATTGTGGGCTGCCCTTGAAGAACGGGCATGAAGAATCCATGCAATCCCTAACAGAACCCTTTCTTCTCTAAAAGGAGAAAGTTGAGTTGTCTCCTCACAGGACTGCGTCTTGGAAGTGTGTATTTCCTTAAGAGGAAGCCCTTGTCTCCCTCCACTGACCACAGTGTATCAAAAGGTGTAGAGTTCACTAGGGACAGCAGCCAAGTCACAAGGACAGTCCCTTCATGGACTGAAAGGGGGCTGGCACTCCAGGAACAGCTCACAGTATTACTGGTCCCCAGTCCCTAGATACTCCACAGTATTCCACAGACGTGGAATCCTTGCCTCTGCTTTATGATGGGGGGAATCTGCTAATCACGATTGCCAACCTGACCGGACTGAGAGATGCTGGCAGGTTAACAAAGCATACACCTGGGTTGTTGGCCGGGCCATGGGCTGTGGCCTTGGGTAATATCTGCGGTCCCTCATGCCTTTTCCATGACGCCATGCCCTGCTTTCCTTCCAAGCTGCCCTGAACCGAGGAGCTTTGTCCCCTTGTGCCCTTCACTGTGATGGCTTTGCCCTGGAGCCAGATGACCAGGGACTTCATTGTCTGAAACTGTGGACCAAGTTCAACGCCTCCTCTTTTAAGTTGCGGTGTTGGGTATGGCGTCCCACAGTGGGGATGTGAGCTAACACAGCGGGTGACGGTTTGCCCCTGACGTTCAGGCTTGGCCCCAGGAGTTGCTTGGGTGCTTGGATTCTGCTAGACTCACGGTGAGAGCATGTTTACAGTGTCCCACGTGGTTGTGCCTGCGTTCTCCACTTGCTCCAGGCCTTTTGCCACGAGAGAAGTGTACCTCAGGGAGCTACTGTTCCAAAGAAGGTGCTCCCTCTGGGCTCCTGAGTGAGAAGCCAGAACTTATTCCTACTTTTCACTAAGTTTTCTAGGGTTTTCTCTACAGCAGAATTACAACACAACAGGGCTCTGAAAGTACATTTATCAAAAATCACCAGAACTAGAGCCAACATTTGACAGTCAGAATAAAGCAACCTTAGAATTGATATACCTTTGGTTCTAGCCCATTTGAAGATGGCAGAAAGTCAATTTACACTATCTATCATCTACTTAAAAACTTTAGGGCCTACACTACCTCAGGCTGCTTATTCCACTGTGGTGTCAGACCATCTTTTTTCTATTTGCGTTTGATTCTGGAGCACAGTCCATTGCCATATTAGCCACTGATGGCCCTGAAACTCCTTGCTGTGATTTCTAGAGGATGCCCAAGCATTCATGGGTGGGCTTTCCATCCACTTATAAGAATGATCAGCATTTTCAAACACCTATTTTATGAACAATAGGCAATATGCCCTAGGTTTTAAATAAATTCTTTTAAAAACAAATTCTCTAATTTATTCCTCAGTCTTAAAATTTAATAAAGATGGTGACAAAGAAACTCAGAAAGGTTAAGTGATTTATCACACAGCCTGTGTCAAAGCTAGGTCTCCTACCCAAGTTAATACCCAATTAATACCCAATTATTGTTTTTCAGCTCTGGAGTACATTTATTGACTTCTCAGATCTCCAGAGAAACTTGGCTACAGCCTGGATGTGAGCCGCGTGCCTGTGAAGTTTAGAAATGGTGGCAGACTCTGGAGGTTGCTTATCAGAGAAACCCTGCAAGTGGCCTGGAGCCTTGTTATCGCTAGGAGTCTTTCTTCTCTTGTGCCACTCACCAGGACTAGGGGCTTGTTTCTTTTGAGTCCCAGGGGCTTTCCAGTAGAGCTTGGTATTGCTCCTTCCTTGCTCTTAATTCCCCAGTAGAACAAGGCATCAAAGGAAAGCGTTCCCTACCAGCGCCACCTGGTGGAATTCAGACTTTCTAAAACATTTTCACTATTTTCAACTCATCACTCTTAGCAGCACTCTACAGCCTGAGCAGCTAATTGCGGTTATGGAATCGCGGCATCTATCTCCCTTCTTAGATCTGAATCCTTTTACAGACATGAAACGGCTCGACCTGGGTTTTCACTTCCTTAGCCAACACTTACTGGATATTTACTTTGGTCCAGGAACAGTTCTAAAACAGTTTCTCTTATGAACTTACTTACTTCTCAAGGGAAATAATTATTATATCCACATCTTATAAATGCGGGAGCTCAGATCGCCTCAACCGAGGTCTGCAAACTCCCTTCTCAGATACCAGGCACTTAGTCACATTTGCGTTCCAGTGCGGTCCTAAGTAGCGAAGGATGGTGCAGGAAAACATCCAGACACTCGGCCTCTTGGCTGGCCTAAGGGACTGCTGCTCCGCGCTGGCTGCCATTTTGGCGTCCAAGGGTCTCTCCCAGGGTTGGGAATGGGGCCTGGGAGGGTCTGTACTTCTATTTTCTTGACTGTTTCATTCCATCTAACTTCTGACTCTTTTTGTTCTTTAGAAAGAGCAAAATCAATTCTCTGACAAGCTTTCCTAGAGGCTCTGAGTCATGAGGGAGTATGTTTGTCCCTAAGTGCCAGTGTGCAGATCAATAAGCAGGTGACCCTTATCTGACAGCCAAGCAAAGCAGAGAGACCACTTAGCCGGCTTGGCTGGTTCCACCTGGATGGGCCACGACAATGGGATGCCCTTTGCCACAGAGCTCCAAGCTCAGCGCTGTCACACAGGTAAGA